TTGGTAACCACTGTTTTATTCTATCTACATGCATATTTGACCTTTTTTGTTTTGGATTCTATATATAAGTGATCATATGATATTTTTCTTTCTGTATTTGGCTTATTTCACTTAGGATCTCCTTATTTATTTAATTATGTATTTGTTATTTTTGAGATGGAGTCTCGCTCTGTCGCCCAGGCTGGAGTGTAGTGGCACCATCTCTGCTCACTGCAACCTCCACCTCCCGGGTTCAAGGGATTCTTTTACCTCAGCCTCCCAAGTAGCTGGGACTACAGGCCTGCATCACCATGACTGGCTAATTTTTGTATTATTAGTAGAGACAGGGTTTCGCCATATTGGCCAGCTGGTCTTGAACTTCTGACCTCATGATCCACCCTCCTTGACCTCCCAAAGTGCTGGGATTACAGGCATGAGCCACTGTGCCCAGCCAAGGATCTGCTTTTTTAATTACACCTTTTAACAACTTTTTAAACAGAAATTTGATTCCATTTCCCATAACCATTATAGAATACTCTCATAGGTAAATATAAAAATCATCAGGATATCTCTTCATGTAAAAATTAAAGCAAAAATATTTAAGTCTCATCCCAATCCACTTATTCTTCCATGCTTTTCAGATTGGGTGCAGTCAATGAAAGTACAACGAGGAAAGTTAGAGTGCAATTTGGCCCACAATTGGTAACTAAATATGAAAATTGGAGTGAATCTAAATATTAGAAGGAAACTGAGCTAGTGGGTGATCTGCTGGGTTAGATAGTATTGGAATCATTTGGCTGATGCTGCTAATTAGTTACCATTTTGTTTTTAAATGGAAACCCCATAATCAAATAAGTTTAGTAAAATTCCATGTGTTTACAGAGATCTAGTCAAAATTATTCTGTATTTTCCTATTTAAGCATCCTAGTGGAAGTCGTGTTTTGCCTTTCTAATTAAATATTTGCTTACGTGTGTGAAACAATGTCCCTGAATGAAGAAAGAAAACACACTATCATACTATTACTTCTTATTTTTATAGGCAATTGAGTTCTGGTTTTCTTTATCCCAAGGCCTGCATTTGCCAGAAAAATATATTTGTACTATTATTCATCGTTACTTAGATCAGTTGGATTGTCAAACTCTGAAACTCTTATTACCTATGTATAATAAGAATGAGTGTGTAAAGAACAACATTGGATTAGATGCAGAGTTCTGCTTAAGCCATTTATCAGCAGCATTTTATCTTAGGCATGTTGCTTAACAATCCTTGATTTCCTCACCTGAAAAATGAGATATACCAGCTGCCTACCTTACAAGGTTGCTGAGAGAAGCAATCAGATATGTTAGGATGGCAGAACCACCAAGAGTGTAAAAGTACAGATTTGGAGTTCAAGGAACCTCAGTTGGAGACCTGTTGTTACCATTTACTCTGTAATCTTGGGCGAGTAACTTAACTTCTAAGTCTTAATTTCCTTATCTTCCAAATAGGAGTCATGATAAGACATATCTCACACACTTATTGAGAGGATTAAATGACACCATAAAGTACTGAGCATGTATGATAATGGCTAAAGGTGTTGAGCACTTCCTGTGTTCCAGCTACCTGATCACATATATGAATGTGCTCTGTAGGCTGGAAAGCCATGTAGAGGGGGAAGCCCAATTCATGTGCTTTTCCATTGCCAGCCTTTCCTCCCATATGCAGAGATCCTAGCCAGGGTACTCACTTTGAGGGATAAGGAAGAGGCCAATTTATAGGATCTACTGCTCCAGAGAGGAAAGCTCCTGGGTGAGGCACTATACCTGGAACAAGATCTCTACCCCAAGCATTGAATTTGGTTGAGTCTCGGAGGAAGCAGACCTGTTGTCTTGCATTCTGCATGCATTTCTGGTGGACTTTATCACAAAGGTCTGGGACTCTTGGAAAAGGAAAGGACAGCCAGAAGGAATGAAGAAATAAAGAAGCTTTCTCTCTCTCGAATCAGACTCCACCTTTTGGTTGCCACTGCCTTCAACTAACAAAGAAATTACCTGTCATTTTATTGTTATAACTATTTTTATGATTTTCAGCATAACTGCCATTATTGTTAACACCTAAGTGTATAGTGAATGCTTAGAATGGACTAAGTTGCTTACAATGGACTAAGTTCATTGACTTCTTCCAACAATCTCAAAAATTCTGTGAGGAAGTTTTTTTGTTGTTGTTGTTGTTTGTTTTTTGAGATAGGGTCTCGCTTTCACTCTGTCATCCAGGCTGGAGCCTGTCACGGTGCAATGACAGGATAAACAGTTCACTGCGGCCTCACCTTCCAGACCTCAAGTGATCCTCCCGCGTCAGCCTCCTGAGTTAGCCTCCTGAGTCAGCCTCCTGAGTAACTGGGATCACAGGCTTGCCATAGCGCCTGGCTAATTTTTTAATTTTTTGTAGTGACTGGAGTCTTACTATGTTGCTCAGGCTGGTCTTGAACTCCTGGGCTCAAGCACTCCTCCTGCCTCAGCCTCCCAAAATGCTGAGATTACAGGTTTGAGCCACTGCAGAAGCCACCAGCCTCAGGAAGATTCTATCATTATCCTTATTTACAAATTAATAAAGTGAGAATTAATCGGAGAGAATAAAATACTTGCCAAAGTACAAGTGGTATTGCTGAGACTCAAACTTGGAACTGTCTAGCTCTGAGCTCCTATTTCCAATTACTATACTACTCTTCAATTAATTACTGACAACTAGAGTTCAAACTCAACAAAGCACTTGAGTTTAAAATCCATGCATTATGGCCGGGCGCCGTGGCTCACGCCTGTAATCCCAACACTTTGGGAGGCTGAGGCGGGCGGATCACGAGGTCAGGAGATCGAGACCATCCTGGCTAACACGGTGAAACCCCGTCTCTACTAAAAATGCAAAAAATAAGCTGGGCGTGGCGGCGGGCGCCGGTAGTCCCAGCTACTTGGGAGGCTGAGGCAGGAGAATGGTGTGAACCCTGGAGACGGAGCTTGCAGTGAGCCAAGATCACGCCAGTGCACTCCAGCCTGGGCGACTGAGCAAGACTCCGTCTCAGAAGAAAAAAAAAAAATCCATGCATTATGTTTGCTTATACACACACAGCACCCAAGTCAGTGAAAATCAGGAAACGGACAATTAGCAAATGCCATTTGAATATTTGTCAACTCTCACCAAGATCTAGGAGAAATCTTCTCAAAATGATGACAAAGATGCTATCCAAATTAATACTTAGTTTAGTCATCCTAATTCTAATGACTTAGCATACTAACACTTTTAAACAATAGAAACATCTTTACACCCATTTTTTTTAGGGAAAGCCATTGTTATTTGCACTTTATTTTAGCGCCATTGGTTTCTCTGTTGCTCTAAAACTTAGATGGCCTCGGAGCTCCTCCTCCCTCATGCCCTCAGGACCTCAGAGGAGTGAGGATGGAGAAAAGGTTTAGGTTGGGTGCAGGGAGAACCTGTGTTCGTCAGGCAGCCTCACCTCTGTCCTGTTCCTCCCAGCCCCAGGAAAGCTGTCCTCTCCTTCCCCCACCCCTAGACTGCCTTTCTTGAAGCAAGACAGCAGTACTTGGGCAGTTTACTCAGCACTGCCAGGGTCTTTACAACAAAAATGAGTTTCTGCTCAACTTGTCCTCTCTTTTGAAAACCCAAAAATAATTATTTGGGGATGAAAGTCAATGTGCTGAAACACAAAACAATCTCATGTTGTCAAACAGAAAGTAAACTTTAACCTTCAGAAAATTTTTTGGTTTTCCTGTCTTATTGTTTTAAGATGTATTCTCACATGGTTTTTTCATATTACAAAGAAGAGTTTTCTTAAGCTTATTGTAATTGATTGTAATTAGCTCCCTTAAATTAATAGATGAATAGCTAGAGTCTTCAAACCATTTATCAGCCAAAACTATAGGATTTACTATCTAAACAAGCTCATTTAAATGTTTCACATTAATTACATAGCTATTATAAATGCAGACTGGAAGAAAAGCCTTGATGGGATTTGTTCTATTCTCTTCTGCTGATGTAGCCTTAATTGCACATGATAAGAAAATACTTTTAGTCTGAAAGTGTGCCAGACTGCCACGACCACTCTAACAACCTGCTTCAGTGAAATATCAAACAAATGTCATGTCAGTGTATGCCTCATAGGTGGGAAAAAAAAAAACAGTTTCCCCTATTATTCAGTGAAAATATGAGAGAGATATCTTTTGTACAGTACCTTCAAAAAAAGAAACAATCACTCATACATTTTTTTAAAACCCATGTGAATTGTAATTGTATTGTAACGAATTGTAAATCTCAGGGTAAATGGCGGTGAGCTCTTCAGCCAGACTGGATTCTAGCAGTCAGGACATTTCAGCCTTGGATAATCAATCAGGGGACTGGAAAGGAGTAATTTCAAGGTGGTAACCGAGTACTCCCAACACCATTTATGTATAATTTATCACAGCAGTGATACACACACTGATTGCATATCTGCTTGAGGATGTGTACAATCAACAGCTATTTATCTATGGCCAATTTATAACATAGTGCCAGCTTCAACCTTTGAGGCAATAGAATCAAGACTGTAACATTAGCTTTAGAAAAACATAATTAGAAAGGTAAATACACTGGATTCAGGAGCCAAATATAAATTCCTTTTGGATAATGTGCAGTTATGGATTACCAAATTATCTATATGGTTAATCTCCTTCATTAGTGTGAATAATTCAGAATTGGATATAATTACTTACATGTTGAAAGTGATGATAGTTATAACATCAGTTTCACTAATTCTATCAAAATGGTTTGTTCTTTGCCAACAATCTTTTCTTTAAAGCCTGTTTTTATGCATGCAATTTTGTTTGCTTCTTGGGTTTGCTGATTTTAAAAGACACAGATCTAGGCATGATTATTCATAGCTGGGGGGAAGAAGTCCCTAATAATTCTGGCTTGAAGGGAAGTTAATATGGTAATTTACTGTATTCCACAGTCCCAAAGATGATCATTCTGGCTTTGCTTCTCTCTTCTGCAGCAACCATCCACTATGGGTTATGCAAGACAAATCATTAAGAAGGAAGGCTGGGGACTCCAGGGCCTCAACAAAGGATTAACTGCAACTTTGGGACGACATGGAGTTTTCAACATGGTTTATTTTGGCTTCTACTACAATGTCAAAAACATGATTCCTGTCAATAAGGTAACTATTTAATAAATTAAAATCCTGGAGGAAAAATCCTATCAGTGAGATAGCTCCATTTGTAGAATGTTTATCCTGTCCCGGTCACTGTGCTGGACACCTACATCTATTATCTAATTCAATCCTTACATCTGCATTGAGTGCTGTTATCCCTATTTCAAATCCAGAAGCAGAGGCTTAGAAAGATCAAGGAAATTGCCCAGGCTCACATAGTAAACAGTAAAGTTGAGGACTGAACCCAAGTCTGACACCAAAATTTATCTTCTTGAAGAAGCTACTGTTACAACTGAGTGCTTTCCCTTTATTACTAATAGGAATTTCTAGAAACTATATTATTACTTACTTTTTGTCTCAGGAGTATAACTTTCTCAAGAAAGTTGAAAGTTTTATATTTTAAATAAGTTTTAAACTCACAAGGAAAAATTGTAGGCCTAAAATTTAAATTTCACCTGGGTATTAATTTTTAATCTAGGTTAATTAGGGTAGGTAATCAATTGATTCTTCTAGAATCATATTTTGATGCAAAATAACAATGATGATAATTATTATCATCATCTTCAATATTATTATTTTGAAATGATAGTTTATAGGCTGGGTGCAGTGGTTCATGCCTGTAATCCTAGCACTTTGGGAGGCAAAGGCAGGAGGATTGCTTGACACCAGGAGTTTTGAAACCAGCCTGGGCAACACAATGGGACCTCTCTACAAAAAATTAAAAAATTAACCAGACATGGTGGTGTCCACTTATAGTCAAGCTACTTGGGAGGCTGCAGTGGAAGGAGCGCTTGAGCCCAGGAGTTCAAGGCTGCAGTGAGCTATGGTTGCGCCACTGCACTCCAGCCTGGTGACAGAGTAAGACCCTATTTCTTTCTTTCTTTTTCTTTTCCTTTCTTTTTTTTATTTTTCTCTTGGAGACAAAGTTTCACTCTTGTCACCCAGGCTGGAGTGCAATGGCGCAATCTCAGTTCACTGCAACCTCTGCTTCTGGGGTTCAAGAGATTCTCCTGCCTCAGCCTCCCGAGTAGCTGAGATTACAGGTGCCTGCCACCACACCCAGCTAATTTTTTTTGCATTTTTAGTATGGCTGGGGTTTCACCTTGTTGCCCAGGCTGGTCTCAAACTCCTGACCTCAGGCGACCCACCCACCTCGGCCTCCCAAAGTGCCAGGATTACAGGCGTGAGCCACCGCGCCCGGCCAAGTAAGACCCTATTTCTAAATAATAATAATCATAATAATAACTTTTTAAATGG